GTATACAGTTTTTGGATTACTGTATAATTAACATGACACCTCTTTCTGTTGATGTCACTCTTTTCCTGAAGTACAACAAGTGACCAAAATTTTCTCTTTGTAGATTCTGGTGTCTGATCTTGTAGGGAAGAATATTCTCCTTTACTTCTCAGCACACTGGTGTCCGCCATGCCGTGCTTTTACACCAAAGCTTAAAGAAGCATATGAAAACATTAAAGCGAAAAGTGGACCGTTGGAAGTGATTTTCATATCTAGTGATCAAGATCAAGCCTCGTTTGATGACTATTTTGCTACAATGCCATGGCTGGCTCTTCCCTTTGGTGATGAAAGGAAGGCATCCTTGAGTCGCCTATTCAAAGTTCAAGGCATACCAACATTGGTTGCTATAGGGCCATCGGGCAAGACTATTACAACTGGAGCCAGAAGCATGATTATGCGTCATGGTGCTGAGGCTTTTCCATTCACCAAGGAGCGCATGAAGGAGATCGAGGCAGAAATTGCAGAGAAAAAAGAAAACAACTTGGATCCTGAGGTAGATCAAAAGGAGCAAGGCAAAGATGAAAAGAAACCAAATGAAGGATGGGTTTGTGATGGTGAAGTTTGTTCCAAAAGTTAATTTGTTTATTATGGTTCTTAGGTTTTAATCTTGTTTTATGACTATGTTGTACTACGTGTCTTTTTCAGACAGAACTATGTTTCATATAAGGCACATTTAATAAAGATCATTCTGTGGTACCGCAGTCCATATGCTCACTCCCTTCTGTAGTTGTCAGATCAAAGATCTTAGAATGAGATGAATGAGACGTGATGGCACTTAATCTTGACTGGATAAGCTAAGTCCATCTTGGTTTCAATTAATGTAAAGTTTCATGTTGATCTGGTGAGGAATTTTCACTTTCTCCATGGTAAAATTGCTCTGAAAGGAAAAAAGGGGATAGCAGACGAACTGAACATCTTTCATTTCTTTGCTTTATTTACCTACTCTATCAGTCTTTAGACATGAATTTTCTTTCAAAATCATTTTCTAGGAAGCATATTCGTGGGGTTTGAAATCGTTCTTTGTGAGGCACTTCTACCATGAAATTATTTGTTTTGTCTCTTTTGTGCAATGCAAGTTTTATTAAGCATTGGACCTGTATTTGATCCAGATTATAATGTCCATCTCCATGTTAATTTTTTCCTGTGTTGCTCAGTCATGTTTTTTGTGCAAAGGATATAATATTGGTTTGCAGAGTCGGATTTCAAACTTTTCATTTGCCAATCTCAAGAATTTTACTATGATAAGCTTTTTGAACGTTCAAAATCTTTGCTAAAAAATGCAATGGTTTTGGAGATATTCATTATCATACCAAAGAGAAGAAAATGCTGGAACTGTCCAGAGAAGTGTGTGTCTGCATATTCATCACAATTTGCTTTGAATTTGTTAGGCTTTCCAAGTCTTCCAATTTGCGATAATTTTCCATGAGTCAAATTTGATGACTAGAGTGGAAGTGGTTTTGTTTCTTGGAATATTAGAACTTGTGCTTTGTATGTGATTTACTGCTAATGAAATTGTAAAAACTTTAACTTGTCTATGTAAGTAATAATGTTTTTTTTGTGATCTTACCCTTATGGCAAGCCAAATGTTTTGGATGCTTGGTTCTGGAAGCATTTGTTTGTTGTACTCTATGATGTTGTGATTGAAGTTTTCTTGCAGCTCCTTTTTTCGTTGACGTTTCAGGACTGCCAGATCCAGAAACAACATCTTTAGGCTCTGGAAAGTTTTGTTTTGCAACCCTTGTCAAATAGCATTGAAGTTTTATGATTGTCAAATAGCATCAAACCTTTGATAGCTTTCTGTTCCAGAAGATGTGCTGATGCTTTTCTTAGATATTGAGTTCTCTCCAACAATCCTTGAAATCTATCTTGGATTTTCAATCAGTAAACTTTTTAGTTGAAGCTGATGAGAGGGAGGTTGATTCTAGATGTCGTTTCTTGTCAAGATTCTGCAATTTTACTCATGTTCTTTAATTTATAGCCTCGATGATATTTCACTATGTCCTGATAACAAGATTGTAGGCCTGTATTTCTCAATGACCTCATTCGAAGAATGTGAGTCATTTACTCAGAAGCTGATTGAGATGTATGACAAGCCGAAATCACAGGGAGAAAACTTCGAGATCGTGATGATTCCCCTTGATGATGAAGATGATGAACCTTTAAAGAAGGGGTTTGCAAGCATGAGTTTGGTTTTCACTTCCCTTGAAAGAGAAGACCTGTGACAAGTTGGCCCATTATTTTAAGCTCTCTATCGTTCCTACCTTAGTCATCATTGGAACTGACGGGAAGGCTCTTCATTTTAATGTTGCTGAAGCCCTGGAGGAGCATTGCATCCTGGCATATTCTTTTATGCGTGAGAAGCTTTTTGAACTTGAACAGATAGAGAAAGCTAAGCGAGAAGCAGAGACACTGGAATCGATTTTGGTCACTGGAGATATGTGATTCCATCATTGGAAAAGATAGTTAAAAGGTTAGATTCAAACATCACATCTTGGTGTTATTGTTATGTTCTATGATACATGGTCTAGGTACTTTGTTCAGATTTTTTCAGAATCCCAGATAATTTTACAAAATATGCACATATCTTTTGTTCTATACCCATACGTACATGTCTGTAAGCCAAATCCATTTAACATGAGTTATTCTTACATAAGATACTTGGAGCTTTGGAGTTTCACAATCATCTATCATTAATCAATTTAGGCATGAGATATACTTTCTGTACATGTCATTCACAATGCTTTGACTACTATATTATGATTAACATGACACCCTTTTTGTTGATATCTTGCTCTTATCCTTAACTAAAACAAGTGAACAAAATTTTCTGTTTGTAGATTCTGGTGCCTGATATGGAAGCATATTCTCCACCTTTCTGAGGCCGCCATGCCGTGCTTTTACACCAAAGCTTACAGAAGCACATAACAAAATTAAAACCACAAATGGTCTATTGGAAGTGCATATCTAGTGACCAAGATCAAGCCTCCTTTGATGACTATTTTGCTACAATGTCATGGCTAGCTCTTCTCTTTGGTGATGAAAGGAAGGCATGCTTGAGTCGCCTTTTCAAAGGGTGTGGCATCCCAATGTTGGTAGCTATAGCACCATCAGGAATGACTGTTCAAACTGGAGCCATAAATTTGATCATGTGTTATGGTGCTGATGCTTTTCCATTCACTGAGGAATATATAACGAGATTGAGGCAGAATTCAAAGAAAAAGCAAAGGGGTGGGCGGAGAAACTCAAGGACAAACTTCACCAGCATGAATTCTGCTTACTGAGTGTATATCTTACAATTGTGATGGATGCAGTGAGTCTGTAGGATATGCTCATTCTATTCTGAGTGACTCTTTTGCACCAAAAACGTGCTCTAGAAGAGAGAAAGGAAAGCAAAATGGATCCTGAGGAAGGCAAAGAGGAGCAAGAACCAAAAGAAGGATGGGTTTGTGATGGTGGAATTTGTTACAAAGGTTAATTTGTTATTATGGGTTGATGGTTTTAGTCTTGCTTTATGACTATGTTTTATTATACACGGCAAATATATTGTATGATGATGATCTATTCTTTGTTACTACAGTCCAAATGCTCCCAACTCCCTCCCAATCTAAAAATAAGTCTTAGAATAAGATGATTGACATGAAAATGATGTCACTTATCTGGACTGCAAAAGCTTTAATAATTTACACCAATTAGTTCTATAAGTTAAAATTTTACTTTTCTTCTTCTACTGATAACTTAAAATATTAATGTATACGGTGAAATCGGAGGGTCCAATTTCTCATTATCAAAGCACCTCGGAAGACCATCTCGAAGTCTCGAGGCTACAAGGTTAACGATCGAGTCTCCTCCCTCGAGGTTCGTCGGCACTCGGTCTTAGGATAATGTTGACCACGGCCACGGTAGAAACGGGGAATTCCCATGGCACGTGGCTAGGACTGACGGAGCCTAGAGAGCTACTCTAAGACCCGAGTCAGGGTGTCATCTAGTTGTCACGTCTCCGTACCTTTGTAATTAATGCTTGTTGTACTATGAAGGATTCCCCTCCTATATAAAGGGGATCCTCCCCATTTTGTAAACTCTGTTGCTCCACAAGAAATACATAAGAACATTCTCTTTGCTCTCTCATATACTCTCTTGATATTACTTACTTTCATTTATTATCTTCATATTGGTTCATCATTTATTGCTTATCATTGGCCATAAAGAGCCTTCGTTGATTCTTTCATAACTGTTAGCCCTACCCCGATCGCCCACGATAGCTCGAGCCTGAGCCCTGGAATCGATCTTGAGGCCCCAAATCGACAGGCTCGAGGCCCCGAATAGCTGACCTAACGGTTTGATTATAGCTCTCTCCCTAACTTTATTTCGTCTCTAAATCTCATATACTTAGCATCAACTGCTTAACAAACTAGCATAAAAATATATCACGTATTTTTAGAGTCTCATCAACAAATTTAATTGTTATTACCATTTTTACGGTAAACAATTAAATATGTACAAGAAAAATTAATTTGATTGGTTAGTGAAAATCAAGTATAATGAGCTGTTCCCTCTGAAAGTACTAAGTAGTAATGGTTATGGACCAAAGATTGCTCTCATCTTTCAACTTATGGGGGTAGAGAACTCGTTAAAGAAATTACTAGTTGTACCTAAGCATGTTTTATCAGCCTCCTTCCCCCCCCCCCCCCC